TTTAGTTTCAGGCGGACTCGTGATTACAAAGCGGGATTTCAGAAACCTGAAGCTAATATGACAAACTCTGATATTTCAAGTTTTCACAAGTAGGCTGTACAGGATGTGATACAAGCTGTTAATAATTTTAGAGATGTCACAATATTTGTGTTTCTTTTCACGTTTTACAGCTTTCATTAACTCGGCCACTAAGTGTTATGTAGTTCTAGTTAACTGATAAGGAATCGCATCTGATTGTAGAGTATAATACACCCACGTTTGTCTGTAACTCTTTTAAAAAAAAGTTACATCGAGTTTTGTAACGATTAATTTTTTGTAAATGTATTAGTGCAGTAAGTGTCTATAGATAAGAATGTTGTCATCATGGATGACATTAACGATTACGTAGTTTCGTTTTCTGTATAAGGTTTGTGAAACTTTAAATAGGTTATAAATCAAATACTTTATATTAATCAAACGTCGAGTTTAGAAGCTGCATTAACAGTTTGCAGTAGTCAAAGTTTTATAAAGTAAGATTTCTTTTCTTTTGTTTTAAAGAAAAATATTTTACAGTATCATATTGCCTGACAAATATAAATAAATTAATATATATATACAGAGTACTTATTGCATTAAAAATAAACAAACTTCTGGTTCTAATTGATCACAACTGTTTGCGAATAAAAATGTTTTTTTTTAAGTAGATATATTGCTAACTGGCATGGTATTCTTATAAGATGGAATCCAAATGGGCCTTTCAAGTTAGAATCGAGGTTCGATTCCTTGCAATGGACTGAGCACATTTAGTCTGCTGTGTAACTTTGTTCTAAAGACTTCTAAACAACGTATGATAATAAATTTCTTTCAATTTCGATTAGACAGTATTCAGTTCTAGTGGCTCCATGATATAAAAATTTGAAACATTTGTTCAATTTCGATTAGACAATATACAGTTGTAGTGGCTCCATGATATAAATATTTGAAACATTGTTCTCAATTTCGATTATACAGTATTCAGTTGTAGTGGCTCCATAATATAAATATTTGAAACATTTGTTCAATTTCGATTGCACAGTATTCAGTTGTAGTGGCTCCATAATATAAATATTTGAAACATTTGTTCAATTTCGATTAGACAGTATTCAGTTGTAGTGGCTCCATGATATAAATATTTGAAACATTGTTTTCAATTTCGATTATACAGTATTCAGTTGTAGTGGCTCCATGATATAAATATTTGAAACATTTGTTCAATTTCGATTATACAGTATTCAGTTGTAGTGGCTCCATAACATAAATATTTAAAATAATTAATAACTTCTGAATGTTCATGAATTTCGTTGTTTATAATTTCATGACTCTCATTCATTGCCCCCCCCCAGGGGGCTTAGTATAGCAATAAGTATGTTCATAATTTTATCGACAAACGTAAGAAAATATGTAAATAAAATAAAACACTAATTAGAAATAAACCAGTCCATTGACTTCAACAAATTGTTATAATAAATAGATATAAATTATGATAAGTTTGACAAAATGAAATTTAAATTCATAATTTAAAAAATAAATAAACTAAATGGATGACATGATTAAGAAAACCTAGAATGGAAATTTTATATAATTTCTTAATATTATTTTGGAAGTTGTTTGTTGTGAAGCGCAAAACTACACAGTGTGCTATCTGTGCTCTGCCCTCCGCCAGTGTCGAAACCTGATTTTTAGCATTACAAGCCTCCAGTCTACCGTGGGGAGGGGGGACATTTTGGAAATGGTAAAAAAAATTATTTGTTTTTCGGTTTTTCGTAATTTGCAAAACACTATGGTTCCTACGAGATGCATTTTTTTTTGTCTCCAGCTCCAACATAACAATGTGAAGAGTGTCTTACAGAAGTGATGTTTTCTGTATACCTCTGAATTTAATTATCTAATATTTTTTAACCCATTAGGATTTATTATAAAATTGGTTTATACTATTCTAAGCAAGTTATAAAATATATTTTTCTAGATTCGATGAGAATTATTGATTTTTTTTTAAATCGAATGTCACGATACATGTTATGTCGCTAAAAATCGAATTTTGACACCTGTAGTGGGCACAACACAGACAGCCCATTGTGTGGCATAACCACAAACAAACAAATACGATGCATGTGTTTCAGCACTTTCATCATTAGAAATTTCTGAACATGTCGTCGGCAAAGACGAGTATTAGCCGTTTTTTTTTCAGAAGCATCAGAGGACTTCGTTATCAAAAATTTTAGAAAAATCTGATTTAAAAAATTTATTTTCTGTTGAGACACTTGGCGAGTTTAAATGATCTTGTAAAGTCCAGCTTATAAATTAATTGTTATTGTTACTTTGGACTATCTATTTTTATATTCATGGATAAAAATGTAGAAATGTTATTTAATGAGAGGTTTCGTTCTCCGAATCTGGTTAACTCAACTTTTCTAGGCAAATGGAGAATATATAAAACATGTTGGTAAACGTTTTTCTTCAGTTTCGTCATAAGTTGGTTAAGAAAGAATTCTGTGGAACAGTCTTTTTTTTCTTTTTTTTTTTTTTAGTTTACGAAATATCGCCCTCTAGTGAGCACATATGCAGTTACGTTTTGTGAGATACACAGTGCAGTATAGCGTACCTGGCGGTTAGCGTTTAGTTAGTTGACTTGGGGTCGTAGTATGGTGATGTGTTGCTGTATTATTCTTAGATATCAAACTTTTCAAATGGGTTGACCGTTCATCTGTAAATGTCCTTCAACGTGTAAGCCATATTTGTCTAAAGTAATTCGACTTATAGGATTCAAAGATAATTGACGTTTTTCAGTGCGCTTGTTGTGATTTTATTTTTTAGTAAGGTTACTTGTTGATACTTACTTTGCAGGAATGTCAGCGAGGGCTCTTGGTAATAGAAGCCGCTAGTGCTGAGAAACATAGGTTCGAGGAAGTAGGCTTTCTCGTGACTGTTAAGAGAGTACGTGAACTTGAAGTTGAAGAAGATTAAGTTGGTTTAAGATTTGTTTCATAAAATTTAAAGCTTTTTCGTGTTAATTTCTATTGTGAGTATATATATATATAGGAATCCTAATCACCATACCTTGCATATGAGGCCTAAGTTTTTCAGCAAATGTTAACTGTTTTAAAATGATTGATACTTAAAAGTTAAACGACTTAAAAGTTAAATATTATTTTTTGCATTCTAAGCCTAAGTAATGTGGTACAAATTAATATTAACAAATTGTTTTCTGTCAAGAGTGGGATTTTGAAACACCAGTTTAAGACGTTAACTTCTGAGGTTTACAATGATGACACCAAAGACGGATTGCAAGAAGTTCGCTCCAAATATATTCAACAAATCAAAATGTCAGCATTGTTTCAAGACGAAAGAAGCTCATTCGGCTGACGCTCTAGAAAGTAACAGAGTAAGTAAGCCTGATGTGATGTTAAAATTTTTTTACATTTCGACACTAAAACAGAGGGTTATTTTAAACCAAGATTAAACCAATATATTTTTTAATGGGGGGGGGATTTCTGGTTTCTTGTTTCAGAAAACAAAACAGCAAATATTATACTGTTATATGGTTTCAGTTTTGTTTTGTTTTTTCCCTGTTATAAAAAAATAATAATAAAATGTGGTAATAACGATAAACAATTAGGCAGATACAACTAAAGACTTTTTCACAATGATTTTTATTAACCAGTACTGAACGTTTGTTGACTTGTGTTTCTATAGCATAATTAGTCATCGGATTTTATGGGTACATATATAAATTCATCATATAAATGTATATGATAGTTGTAACTTAAAGTCTTGAGTGATAAAATTAATGCATTTAAGTCGTGTGAAAAACAAATTGTGTATGAATTAGTGGGAGAATAAGTGACAAGTTTTTTGTTTTTCATTCTGAGTTCAGGCTTATCACTGTTAGACTATACTAATATAGCCAATATCGTATTATTATTATTTTTCTTAAGTTTATTTTATGATAAACGTGTGATATTAGTGGTTTATTGTGAAGTTATTCATACACATTTCATATATTCTTCGTGGGATATTGGTTAATTCTTCACAGTAACAAAGGTAGAAAGGAGTCGAGATATGCCAGTGTCAATATAGTTTTTTTTCTTCTGTTTCTATAAGAGCTCAACGACTGGCACTAGCCAAATATGGGAAAAGAACCCCAAAATATCATGATACATTTAATCACAAATAATTTTAGATTTGTGAAGGAAAGTACGTAGACGTTATTATTATTGGGTCGATATATTTTAAGTTTCTCCGGGTCGGAAGGTCATCCTCTAATCCCCCCCCCCACCCCAAAAAAAAACATGGAAGAATGAAAAATCCCCATTTTAATAACAGTTTGCGGGGATTTTTTTTTTTTTTTTT